TTTCCCTGAAAGATTTAGGTGTCCTGTGGCTGCTATCTGGTGCGAGTGCCTCATTCCTTTCTTTTAAAAAAACCCACTAACATAGTTCTTATTTTAACAATTTTTATAACCTAAAACAATATTTAACACAGTAATTTCTGACGCGGTTTAGCTCCAGTTTCAAACAATCAAATCTTGTTAATGTACTTTGCATTTTGAGAATAAGTGAAAAAGAGTTCTGCAAATTACAAAGACTGAATATTATCATACACTCATGGAATGGTTTGGCTTGGAAGGAATCTTAAAGGTCATCTAGCTGCAGTTCCTCCTACCATGGGCAGGGATGCCATTCTTCATCACCTTTCTCAGAGCTCCATCCACCTTGGTCACATTAGCTCTTTGAGAACTAGGTAACAAGAAAGGTCACAAATTGAATTAAAGCCATCATTGCCAGTAAACAAACTGGAGACCAAACTGCACTCACTCAAATAAAATCCTTTAGGCTAGCTCGCTGGTGACATAAGCTGGGCAAAGCCTTCTTGGTTTGCTGTTTCTCAGTAAATCTTCATGCTATGTGGTTTAGCAATGCCTCTAATTCAGCATCAGGAGAGTACGGGAAATGAGCCTAATTAATCCCGGCTAGTATTTGAAGTGGAACAGGTGCGGAATCTGAGCTGGAGCTTAGGCTGACAACAGATACCATTTATTTTAGAGTAAGAAAAAAGACTCACAATCTCTCCAGGGAGAGCTATGAGATACTACAGCTGTCAAACAACAAAACACAAAGCCAAGAAGTTCAGAGATGGCCTGAAAATTGAGCCCCCTGTCAATAAAATATTTCAGTTGCTCAGTTAAACAGCTTAGATGACTTGAACTTTGCTCCTCTGTCCTTCACTTTTCTGTTTGCTCCTCACAGATGTAAAGTCTGGTTCTAGAAACCACTGTGCAATTTGCTAAGTTATTACAGTCCAGTATAAAGTGTGTTGGTCAAGGGCTTTTTTACAAGAACTTTTTCAAAGGCCAGATGCTGTTACTACCAACATCTTAACACATACTGTGTTCTGTTCCCATACAGAACACTGTGTATGTACAGTGTTCTGTATGGGAATGGTACCTAAATTAACTATTTTTTTCAGAAGGACTTTGTTGTAATTATACATTAAAAAATTAACCTTGAAGAAGGTGCTGGATTGTGTGGCTTGTATACCTGTGGAACTTAATGCTTTGACTTCTGTCATCTTGACTAGGAGTATTTTAATTTTCTTATGTTTACTAGTATGAACTTTTTTTTTTCTAGCACTGTTTATGGTGAGTTCTGAAGCCAGAAAAGGAGAGGAGTCCCCTCAGGATCCAAAACAGAACTCTGAAAGAAAGAAGCACTGAAATCAAGTTGCCAGTGACACATGCATGTAAAGGGGTAAAGTGAGACGTTGTCTGGGCAGGGAGTCACGGAGAATGGAAGCAGAAATAAAGTTTGGAAGTATGTGAAGCTGAAAAGGTGCTCAGAGAGTAAATGAGAAGAAAGGGAGAAAGATAGGTCATGTGGCAGGCTTGTGGAACATATGGAGTAGGAAAAGCAGAGGGGTGTTGAGTGAAGCAGTTGCCGCAAATAGGGAAGAAAATGTGGAAGAGCTACAACAGTAATTTGAAAAGCTGGAAACTTATGGATGATTTTCAGGAGCATGGAGATATGGGGAATGCTGAAAGCATGAGCAGCTGAAGATTCGCAGGCTCAGAGGTTCCTGTGAGCCAGGAAATCAGAGGTCTCAGCAGGTTTTTAGTGCTTTACCCTTTGTTTACATAGCAGTGTGGATGGGAGGGGAGGCAGTACCAACTGCTTGGGATAGGGGAACAGTTTTCCTGACAGCCTTGGAACTGTTCTGTCCAAGCAGCCCAGTCACAGAAGGCACTATGTAGATAAAGCAGTTTCTTCCCAAAACCCCCAGGAAGGTCTGAAAATCTATAGCCCCCATAAAAATTAAAATTGATGGCTGGAGGTGAATAGTTTGAAAGAGGCCAAGGTAATTCTAACAGAGAAGCTTGAAAATAGTAATCTTGTTTGCAGACAGATGACCAAGTAGGCATAGTCCTTATTTAATGATTGTATTTCAAGCATTAGAGCCAGCAATGAAAAACAAGTGGTTAAGTGTAAGGATGTTTGGTTGAGTCACTGAATTGCCTGTGACCTCAGCGCTAAGACTGACCTGAACTGTGGGGATGATCCTAATTACAACCTTACTATTAGATATGCAATTACCAATCTGTAATTACAAGCTAAATTGTAGAACACTGACTGTTCCTCTGTTTACAGTGTAATCTGACTCCTGTATATAAGAACATTACTAAATGTGACAAAATTAAAAATAATTTCATTCTTTAGTGAACAAAATATGTCTTTAAATACTTTCTCTGAAAAAGTAAGTAAACACCCAGTCATGTTTCATGAAAAGTAATGAATATTATTGAATACTAATTATTCTTACTGTGAAAAAGCACAAATAGCAGCAGAAGGTTAACCACAATGGTATCTCTGTGATAACTCAATGTCACAGACATCTTTTATGAAAAATCCTTTCCTTCTTCTATTCTTTTAGTATAGTTTTGATGTAGTGTATATCATAAAATAATAAATCAAGCCGTCTGAAACATGGAGTCAGATCCTCGTCTCTTCCCTCATCCTGAGACCCCTGTGAACATGGTCACAACTCAACAATCTTAAAGACAGGAATGCGAACAGGCTTCTCTTTTCAGTCACAGCTTGCTCTTTGAAGTGTCACTGTGACATGAGACTGCACCATGAATCAGGAGGCTCCTGAGCACTATTTGTGGCCTCCATATCTGCTTCAGAGGTGTCTGCAAGCAGCTGAATTAACTGCAGGGTTAGTATCTGCCAGGTACAAAGAGTGGTAGCTAGGTGCTTGAGAGCACTGCAAGGTTTAATTAATAATGTTTGCTAACTATTAATTAAGTGTTTGAAGTTCAGAAGTGTTGATTAGAAATGCCTGAACATTGAATCACTGTGTTCTAGTTGTACACTGTTGCATGTCCCCAAAGGTTCATTTAATAACTGATAAACAACAGGGCCAGCGGTTTATTTATCCAAAAATCAAGACAGTGGCCCCAGTTGTCACAGAGAAAAAATGTGGGCCTTTGTCGGGGCCGAGCCATTTGTCGGTGAGGGGAGACTCAGACACTCAATATGAGTGATAAGCAAATTCCGTTTATTGAAGAGAGCATCAGACACTTATACAGCAAGTAATAAGCTTATGAATATTCTGTAAGCTAAGCAATCTATTGGTTAAACTATACCATCAACTCTTCCTCATTCCTTAGGGGGGTTACATGTCTCTTTTCTCATGCCTCTTTCACTGTTTGTTATCCTACCACAGCTAGGCCCAAGGACACTGTTATCTTGCAGGTGCCGGACTTGGAATTAGCCATGGTTTTGTACTTTTCCATTTTCTAGCAGCTAAATTCCCAACACCCAGTGTCTTACTGAAACCTGTTATCATGATGCAATTATTTAGTTTTTCAGGAGAGAATCTTTGATTTGACAGAGCTGTTTTGCCTCCTGCAGATACAATCTGTCATGATTCAGTCTTGCATATAATAACTATATTTGCCATGTCAAGGAGCAACATCTGACTGAATGTGGCTTTTTATTTCTGTATTACTTTTTCTCAGTTGTAAAAGAGAAATATTCCAGGGCTTGCATTTGGTATTCTAGACCTGTGCAGTGATTGCTTTGAAAGCATCCATAGCTTCAGACAAGGAACTGACTATTAACAGCTGAGATTAAAGGCTGCAGTCCAGCAATGGTGGGAGATCTAGGTAGCTCCTTTACATTTATGTGGCAGTAATCTGCCACAGTGTTAGGCTAAGGCATGAAGAAAGTTTAAGGAGACTCAGGCCTTAAACATATACAGCGTGCATTGTGGGGCCAGAAAGGGGGTGTTTTAAAAGGCAAGCATATCCACGTGAGATAAAGTAATAGACAATACCTGCCACAGCAAATTTCCCGGAATAAGCATCCCTGTGATTCAGCATGGCTCAGATATATTTTGGCTGAAAAACTGTGTCTCAACTCAGGCTTCTTTGCCAGATATATCTGCCTTCTTCACTAAGTACTTCACTAAGAACTCAGTAAGGAGTTCACTCACTGGTCCACTGTGGTGAGTGTATTTTGTATTTCTTCCTTTTACTCAAATCTTTACACAACATCTTTCTCTTCAATCTCCCTTACAGGAATAAACAATACTACTTGTTACCAAATATACTTTTCTCTCTGATGTCTATCTCAATGCACACCCTAAAGAAAGTGAACGTACTAGCCATGGTGAAACAATGGTGGTTAGATTGATATTTGGGCAGTTGGAAACTCACCTGTGCATTAGACTCTCCTTGTTATTCTTCACTTTGTGAGATTCAGAATTATATCAGTGAAGTCTCACAGTGGTCAAGAAGGTTTAAGGTCCCTAGACATTCACAACTATACCCCAGAGGCAATCTATATGCCAGCTTTGTGTTTCAGCAGTAAGTGAATAACTTTTCCAAGCCCTGACAACCTAAAAAGTGAACTTCTGGTGGCTCCATATCTCGTTTCTCTTGCATTGCAGCAAATGTTCACGATGAACATCCCAGATTTTAAATTGACATAAACTCCTTTATGTTTGGGATGTGTGAACCTAGATGTTTAAATATACAGAATGAGACTAACCCCTTGAATTTGTGAAATCTTTTATTTATTTTTCTTATGCAGATGCTTACTTGGCATACATAAATTTGCAATACAAATGAGACTTGAGTGTGTTCGTATGAAAATTTGGCGTTATGTAGAAATTTATGTGCAATGATACATACTGTTTTCAGGGAAAAATTTGCGATGGTGATCATCTCTTTTAAGTACAGACTGCTCTTAAACCCAGAAAAGTGAGCCTCTATGAAGAGCTTAATTTGATAAATGATAAATTTGATAAAATTCAGATATCTGCTGAGGAAATGGCCTGTTTATAGAAATAGAGTTATACATCAACCCAGCTATCTGACAGAAAATAATAAAAGTTGATTGCCTGTGAGGTCATCTGTGACTCAGAAATTAGACAGAAAGTGGACTGTGGAAATCAGCTGTGAGGCTGTGGCAGAGAACAATGCATACGTGACTGAATCCTCCTCAAAAGATATATCAAATATCACACCTTTCTCAAGAAAGAAGAGATTCAGAAGGTGAAGAAAATATGAAGCATTCTACTTCCTTGCATAGCATGCACAACTGACTTAACAGGTTTTTCATGATGTGATAGTTCTGAAATTTTTGCGAAATGTTCGGTAGTTGCACAGGCATCCAAATAGATACATATTGTAATTTGTAAAAATGTGGCAACATGCTTCACAGTAGCAGGAAAAGTAGCAGGTTTAGCTCAAGTTAGATTGCTGTTTCTTTTATCAGGTTTTAATGAGACACTTGGCAGAACCAATACTGAAATCCTGTTAGCTGTTGGCTGACACACACAGTGTCTACTACTTAATGAAGGAGTAAATAGTATCATAAATCTCCTATTTTTATTGCTGTTTCTTTGTATGAGTGAAAATCACCTTTCAAACTTACAGATTTCTGCCATCTCCTTCTTCATATATTATCAATGTGTATTGTAAAGAATACCATAAAAGGATGTAATTTGTCCAAGACCAAATATCAAAGACGCTATCACATCTTCTGGTTATATATGTTATATTTTTATTTTATAAAAAGTTTATATTTAAACTATTTTATTTTTTTAATATTTTATGGATGAAATTTCATTGAATAATTGAGGACTAAATGCATATTATCATTAAAAACAAGTTTAAAAATATATGGGGAATTCAGAAAAAAAAAGTAGAAAGTAAAGTTTCACAGAATAAAAAGTTTTATTTCTGAGAGATTTGCCCACGGCTTGATTTGTGTGTATTTTAAAAGATTACAATATCTCTGCATCCTGTGATGATCTCTGTGTACCTTTGCTAGTTATTACCTTACATTTACAGCATTTCTCTCACTAATCCAGCATTTTTGCATGTATAGAACCCCTTGCCCTGAGCTAATGAAACAAAATGTTTCAGTATACGCCTGATAATGCAGCACAAAAGAAATCTCATTATTTTCAGTGGGACTTCTGTAAGGTTAACTGGTCATCATTGCCTGGACCTTTGCTGTTCTGCTGATGTGTGCAGACTCCTCCCAAGTGGAGTAATCTACATAAAGTCTGTATTTTCTCTTACTGCCATAGTGCTGTTATTACCACTGGTCAGGCCTCGTTCATTTCCCAGGCTGTGCCACTTTATTTGTTCTGATTATTTTGCCAAAGATTAAGCATTGGTTTTCCCAGCTTCTGGGAATTTTGTTCCAGGTAATACCCATGATTTTCCTTTCCACTTAAGCCATCAATAGATTTGTTGGTTGTACATCAGTCACAAATATCTCTTGGCATCTTTTTTCACCGAGCAAGTGAACTGCTCTGGAATGAGGAATACAGCAGATCTAGACAATAATGAGGGGAAGAAAATAAAGAGTATTTTCGGAAAATGTGCAAACATGTTTAATGAAACAGAAGTCAGGTGTAGATTCACTAGCATAAATCCTCCAAGAGTAGGGCAGCATTAGTGCATTGTGTTGGCCTTGTACAGACATCCCTAAAGATTTCACACTTAAGTGAGCAGATCACAAGGGGTAATTTAGCCCTAAGACACGGGGCAGTCACACTGGTAATTAGAATGTACAATTAGTTTCTATCTTCTGCCAGAAATGTCAATGCAGTTTGGTGAATTTTTTGAAGAGTTTGCACAGCTGCAGTTTCATTTACCTAGTAGATTGTGGAATTTTTTGATTTTTAAATTCAGCTCCAAAATTCAAATCCCCTGAAGACTTCTTAGTAACAAAGCCATGTATCTTAATTCAGAATATTTTGATTTGGAATCTGTGATACTCTTCAAAAGAAAGCCAGCCTGTCTGTACTTTGATACCTTGTGTGTGGTACTGGATGCACTGAGATGCATAACAACAAAAAGAATAGTAACCATCATTTGGGTTGAATAGCTGAATTCTTTGTTAAAATTTGGATCACTAAGAAAATTTTGTAGACATCAAGCTTACTTAAGATCCATGAAAATAACTTATGGGGTACAGAAAAACAGTACAGGGTCAAAAGTTTACTTTTAAATGTGAAATTTTGTAAATACATTTTATTTTGATTTCATTTTAAATGGAGCTGGTGATAGTTCAATAGGGGTGGTATTTTGTCTCCATCTGAATCCAGGATGTGATGTGTTCTTCTCTCACAGTAGTTGCTCAGGGGAGCTTAGGTTAATGTGTAAAATAATTGGTTCTCTGAACAGTTGGGCACAGTCTCAAAGAGTTCCAGTTTCAGTATCAGATTTCTTTTAATCAGAGAGAAGTATAGTCTTTTTCTGATGCTCTGTATGCATTGAAAGTGATTGGAAAGAAAATGCTTTGAGCAGTGCAGTGTAGAAGCAAAGGTTCCATGTTATAAATAACATATGATTATACAAATATACTGAATTTATAGAGCTTATTTATGCTGAATCAGGTGTCAGGGTATACTATGGACTTTTCTGTCCTGATTTCAATGATCAATGGTCTCATTCTTCTGGGAGATGACCTATTTAAAGTAAATTTCATGCAAAACATAAATACATATAGTCAAATAATGATTTTTTTTTAAATTTAAGACAAAATCCTCTACAACATATTATCTACAATACTAAAAAATGAAAACTCATTACTTGTGTCCAAAACATTTTAAAAAAATGAGGCAGATCCAATCCCATCTTTTTAAAAATTACCTGGTGTATGCTGACAGCTTGATAGAACTTAGCCAGATTAAAAGAAGATGGACACTTTTTTGTCATGTAGTTGTTACATATGTTTGAGTATCTCCATTTTCCTAGAAAGATTTAAAGCAATGAGAAGAACACAGAAAGTTTATAGTGCCATAAATTACTGTAGGAAAATGTGGATAACAGAGAGGAAAATAATTTTTGTTTAAGTGGCTATAAATTGTTCTTGGTTTGTTCATTTAGCTTAATGTAAATCAGATGCCTAATGTATGTATGGAATGTTCTTTCTTTTAGTGCTTGATCACTTAATGTTTGTCTTATCTACTCTCTCCTAGAACCCTTGCAAAAGATCAATTGTAGCCCTCAAGTTGCTTGTGAAATAGATATCACTGTAAACAGTCTAAATCATTCACCAAAGGCCAAATCAGGATTTTACAGCACCTGGGACTTTCAGAGAATTATACTTGACCTTATTAAGTAAACCAATTTATTTTTGTTTAGATAGTAATTTGTCTGTATTTTAAAAGTGGATCAGGGGTAAAAGAAATTAACCTTGCACCTTTCAAAGTGCTTTGTGAGTCACCAGCCTTACTAAAAACCAGTAGGACGCATGTTCTGAAATTTCTGAGATGCTTTTGAAAATCCACCTCTGCAAACACCTTAACATTTTTCCTCATGAAGCTCCTTCTCACATACCTTATAAATACCTGCAAAACCACCTCATTCTCTTTTTGTCACTTTTTATCAAATTTGTCTTGCTGTGATACTTACAGAAAAAATCTGGTTTGCTCTTGGAACCCTGGTTACTGAGAATGTTAGACTTTCTCTGCTGACCCCCAAGAGAACACTGCATTTGACCTGAGGCCATGGAGAAGGCTTCCAAAATTGAAAGATAAAACTAGAATTATGGATGTGTAGTTTGAATAGAAGTGTGTAATATCCCAGGGTGGAAAAGTTAGAGGTTTTAGAATATAGTAATAGTGTAGAATTGGAAATATAAATAGGGACTGTATAATACAAATACAGATGCTGAAATAAAAGCATTTGGGAATCATCTGGAAAGAATGAAATGAAACTGATTTTTACTTCATTTGGATAGTTTAAATAGAAAAAAAGACCATTATAGTGCCAGTGACACACTTGCTAGCGCAATAGAAATAATCAGGATTCCAGTTTAACGAGATACTGTAGAAGGTGAGAATATTTTGAAGTGCTAATGAAAAAGAAAGAAGTGTTATAAGCGGTTATAAGCATTAGAAAATGGTAATTGGTAGATAGCAGCACTTTTAAAGAATAATGACAGTTTCATATGAAAAAGCATTGTAAGAATGTTGATTAGCTTAACTGGAACAGGAAAGATTTACAGAAAGAAGGGATTCAAAAGTAGAGCAGCTTTACTTCTGTCCTTGCAAAGCACTGAGTAGTGTTAATTAAAACTGAGACAGGAGAAAGCTTAGGGCATGCACAATAGCATGAGTATCCTCTGAATGGCGTTGTCCAACAGAGGTGATATTTGAGAATATTGCAAAACTTGGGAGAATTACTGATTGCAGAGCTCATTGCCTTGTACCTGAGACTTTGCATGGGTAAAGCATTCCTTTTCCAACTTTTGGTTTGCACTGCCCTATAGTAGGAGTCCCACTAAAATATCTGTACTATATTTGAATATCTGTATACAGGCCTTGCCCTGATAAGCCCCGGTTCTTCTTGATGGGCTGCAGCTGCCATGTCCTTCATTGGGCTGCAGCTGTGGCTAGTGAAGATAACTGGGATAAAGGGGGTGGGCTTGGCTGGGCAGGGAGAGCCTGGAAAGAGCCCTGACTAAGATGGAATAGCATGCAGAAGTTTGTGCTGTGAAGAACTGCCCCTAAGAAATATCACTGAGAAGGTATGAGACCTTAGAAATATGATTGTGATGCTACAGGACTCTAGAAATATGAATATAGCATTGCCGTCCCTGTGTTTTTATATGTGATTGACAATTAGGGATTATGATGCTTCTGGCATGGCTTTGTGCATGCTGGTTTTAGATGCAAAATAGGGAAACAGCAAGTAATAACCTGAGCTTCAATCTGGTTTTATTTATTTAGGTCTGCCTTTTTCACACTACTCAATCACAAAACAAATGCAATGAAAACTTTGTTTTTTGTTTTATGTTACTTATGGTACTGCAAATGGTTTTAAAAATACATTTAACATAAAATGGAGGGTTTTTAATTCAGAGCTGTCTGATGCCATTGTCAAATATCTTGCTTGGTGTGTACGTAATTCACTTCTTACAAGTCAAGTAAATTACCATTTAATCATTATTCTCTGGTTTGTCAGCTGAAGTTAGACTGTATTTAATGGTAATGCTATGTAAAATCTGATGTGCTGGGAATATATAACATGTTTCTGAAGGGCATGATGATAATCAGATTTGTCTAGACATGTAAAACACATTTGTGATGCTGTGAACTGCTCCAATTAATTTCATGAGTTTCTGAGACTCATAACAATTTAACTCAGATGTAGTGTGGGAATTAGAAATTGTAGCAGCCACAAAGTTTTTAGTGGAAAAGCCACGGATTTCTTAAAATATCAAGGCCATGTCCCCATGTGTTATAAGTACTGTTGCTGTGTTATTACCAGTGTTTAATGTATTCCCTAAGATTTTGACTTGATGCCGGTACTTGCCTGTCTGAAAGGGTAAATTTAGACATTGGGCAAGGTAGTGTATCCACTGGTTAGTTAATGGCATGCTGTCTTCTGCTGCAGCCATGCAGCTGTGAGCTTTTTCAGTTCATCATGCTTCTCTTGTCCTTATCCAGCACGTGCTGGTTGCAGCAATCCCTCTCCAGGGTGGCTGAGGAGTAGTGGAACAGGTCAGGATATCCATGATTTTCCATTGCAGCTCTGCCTGGTAGGAATATAACATTGCCCAAAACAGTACTAGTAAGCTGGTTGCATGTTTCAAAGGTGCAAAATGAGAGGTGCAACAATTCCAGTTCTAAGCAGGTCAGTGGTATGGTTGCCACTGGCCAGCTTAAGTGCTGCAGTGACATTTAAAAAACAAATATCCATTACTGAAAGATAGACTTATGTCCTTTTTTTCCTCCCAGAGAAACTTATAACAACCTGCTTATTCAGCTTGATTGCATTAATGTAACTGTTCTTTGCTGCTAATAATAATTACAGGGAAACATTGCACAAAGAAAATAAAATTTGTCTTCCTTTAAATGGTGTGTCTTGAAAAGTTTTCATCTGTGAAATCCAGTTCTAGCTGGGAGCTATCTGTATTTCCCAAGTAAAATATTACCAATGGGGGTATGTGTTTCAGAATCAGGAGCAAAATGTGTGACCTAGAAGCCATAGGGGAGACCAGGAATTAATTGGATAAAGCTCCAAATGGCCCTGCTGGGGAAACCATAGGAAGGATTTCCAGGAGGCTCATCTGCTTGGCGGTGTTGTCACCTAGACACCTCTGCAGGGATCTAAATGCCAGCCAGAGTGCATGAACAGGAAAGACAAGAGTGAAGAGTAAACTATACAAAGAGGGCAGTTCATTTCCTGTATGAAGGTGTAGGAGAAAGGAGGTGAAAATCTTTTAGGGAAAACTGGGATGATTGTTGTTCAAAGAACAGATGAAAATACTAAAGAATGATGCAAAATGGAATTTGAGACTGACAGTCTGGGCTTCAGCACTTCTTGGAGTGCATTGTGGGAGTAAATGAGTCTTCACTCTGGACATTCTCCAAGTATCTGTAAGAGAAGGAGTGTTCCCACTGCCTCTGGGTTTATCAGCACAGGCTCTGGCTGTATCTTTGGAAGCTTTTGGAAGAACTGCCATTGCCAAAGCCGAGGCACACAACTTCCCCTTCCACCCTGTATCCACAAATGGGTTGTCAGTGTTGTTGCACCTGAGGAAAAACAGCCTGACTGTAAACTTGCATTTGCCAGCTGTCTTCTTTTAGCAGTGCTTTGGTTTGTTCATCTACTTGGCTTCTTTTGTGTGGATTGCTGCTAAAAGCAGTGGTGAGCTCTCCTCTGATGCATGTTTCAGCACAGAAGCTTTGAATACAGGTGTTTTCATTATGAGTTAACATCTCCCATCTTGAATGTATGGTGCCAAAACAGCAGTTCCCCACAGCAGGAGCCGCACATGAGCCTTGTTTCTAAGAGTGGACCTTAGAGGTGAGTGCAAACAGTTTTTCCTTGGTTAACAGGAAAACTTTGAGGTAGCTCCCCAGCAAAGCTGAATCTTTCTCTCTTTGAGGGATGCCAAAGTGTCTGGGGAATACTGGTGAGCCTTAGCATCGTCATCAAATTCAGTAAAAGTTTTTCTTCCTTTCGAGTTTAATCAGAAATGTGGGGTTTAGCAGAGGTCTGGAAAAAATTTTTTCTTTCCATAGGAGGTCCTGAGCTATGATATTCTTCATACTTGCTAGAAGTCATCACCTCTGAAATACTAAAAAATATTAAGTTCTTTTTCCTTCAGTTATGTTGTTGTAATGCCTTATTCCAGTATCCATCCTGGAATATATTAGTGATTACTAATAGTGTAATACAATTAGAAGATCTCTTGAGTAGGTGCATGAATAAAGCCATCAAATAAGACAAAGTGCTAATAAAATCTAACACAGCTGGGGGAATATTACTATAATAACACTTAATGAAGAGAAAGCCATACATAACAAAAATACAGTAGTACAATGAAAACAATACAACTATAGTTAAGGGTTAATAATTAAAGTACTTTCCATTAATGTAATTTAATTTTAGCCCTATTCCACTAGGGGTCAAATTCATCCCTGGTGTTACTTGGAGGGAGTGTATTTGAGAGATGGATTTTTGCCATTGGTTCGGGCTACTTAGAATTTTGTCATGCTGCTTCTGAAGAATTTTTGAACACCTTCTTCTGGCATTTGTGTAAACCTGAGCTCCAGTTTTTCAGGTTTCTTAGCGCTGTCTGTTGAGTGTTCTTGAGGTAACACTGATGAGTGTATGATCAGAAATCATTAAACTGTTCTTTTTCTAAATGCCACCTTTGTCCCCTGCTAATCAGCTTGCTGACTATTTCATAAGGATGCCCTGGGATGTATTGCCTGCAGTCAGAGGTCTGCATGTGCAGATGACTCTCTCATTAGGTGTGTTTTCTGCCTTCTCACCAAAGTAAACAAACCATCACTTGCAGTAGCTGACTTCATTCTGTGTTTGTTTGGGTTATTTGGTAATTTATTCTGTGTGACTGCTGGTGTTTGAGTGGAATAGCTGTCTGAGTTCATTAGTCAAACACTGAGAGGGCTTCCTGAAGCTATCTCTCCACGCTTGTAAATGTCTTGCTAGTATTAAAACTTTATCTCAATCAGTTTTGTTGTAAACAAAAAACCTGCCCTTTTTTTTTTTGTGAAAAGAGTTGCAAAACCAGTTAAACCAGTTACTGCCAAAGCGGAGTTCTACCTGTTATTGTAATCACAGGTGGTTTTAGCTAATTGCTCCTTTTGTATCAGTATAGCCCTGCCTGCCTATCGAGCTTCCCAGCCTTGAGCTGATCACCTTTAATAAAGGCATTAAAAGGGGAAAAAGTCTCCTGCCCTGTTTATTTCAAGCTTTACTGGTCCTTCCCACAATTTTCAGTTTTCTTAGGCCACACTGCAGTCTTCTTGTGTACATCTCATGTTGCACAGAAATTGGCTTATGCTGTTGAGACTGGATATTGTTTTTATTGTTTTAGTAGCTCTCAAAAACCATGGTGCCCCATAAAGCAGGCACTGGAACTAATACAGCAGTACATCCTGTAAGCTCTCCTGTTTTAATTCTGATCAACACAGCAGAACATGGAACCCAATAGTATTTCATTTGCCTCCTTTTTTGCATTTATGTATTGGACAGATGGATGTTTTGATGATTCTTTCACTGTAGCTACAAAATCCCTTTTCTGTTCACTTTGCTGGGTGGTTGTTCCATTTAGCACATTCCTGACCTTGATTCTTCACTTCCGGGCTAATTATTTCACAAGATGCAATGGCTAATCAAAACTGTTATGTCGAGCTGTCAATACCAGTAATCTTTTTTTTTCCCCACTTACAGGTACACCCAACCAAACATTCAGTAGAAAAAAATAATGTGAAGGACAACTCTGATTAAGCTGTCTGTCATATTGCTGTGTAAACCAGGTGGCGAACATCAATGAAGTAGCAATCACATTTCTACGAGTTTATCCTTAACTCTTTCAGTAATCTCAGTACTTCTTTGCCACAGTAAGATCTGAGAAGACCTACGCTCTACCCACTTATAGTTATAATCTCATTTGTATGAAATGTTCTCTTTTAAAAACAGTAATCCCCTTTTTCTGCCATCCAGGGCTTAGTTTACTGTGACAGGCTATATGAGCTTTATACGAGCTTTGGCATACCTCAAACAGTGTTTTTTCTCCTTTTTCTCTGAGAGAGGCATTAACTTCTTTCAGAAACTTTCCAGGGACTTCATACTGACTAAGATATCTTAATCTTGCCTTTGCTAAAAAAATCAGGGTAAATGATGTAGATCTCAGTATATGCAATGGGAACTTGTTTCTCTGCCAACCAGGGATGTATCTTGCAGTAGTCTGATCAAAGATTCCAACATGCCATTATGAAGTCCATGTCAGCAAAGCCCCAGCTGACTTATAGCCCTAAATTAGTGTGTGTATTTGAAAAATGCATTTTGGAAGAAAGTCTGAATGCAGTCAGCAAGGACTGTTGCAACACCATGGTTGTCTAAAGCAACAGAAGTGGTCATGTTGTACCCAGATTTTGCCTCCCTCACTGTTGAAAACAACTGAAAGAGGGTGTGGACTTAAAGAAGGCACCACTTACAGCAAGGAAAATTCCAGATCAACTCTAAGAAAACATTTAGGTTGGACAATCATTCTATCAGGCTGCCCAGGAAGGTTGTGGCATCTCTATCCTTAGAGATATTCAGCATTGGACTGGCCATAACCGTCCGAAATTTCATCTAGTTTGTAAGCTGGATCCGGCTTAGAATTGGTGATGCTTAGTGCAATGGACCAAGTGACCTCCAGAGGTCCCTTGTAACCTATGTCTCTCTGATTCTGTGGTTATGAAAGAGCTGATGAGTTGGAGTGAGAAAGTAGAAATTGGGAGGGTGAAGGGGAAAAGACAAGGCTAGTCTCTACTATAAACAGTTTCCTTAGGTTCTTATTCTATCTTGGGCGGTTGCAGAAGATTTAAGAAAATGCTGCTGTGTCCAAATGACTCAGATTCACAATGCTTACAGCAGTGCCATGGCAGCACAAAAGGAGGTTTTTATTTTTTAAAGCATTTATTCTTAGCATGTGTTTTCTTGAACCTTGTTGAGTTAACACTGTTAAGAGCTAGATGTATAGGAATACAATCTTGAAATGTAGCAGGAATATGCATAAGAATAGACCATTTAAAGTCTGTCTTCCAAACAGTTATCTGTCAAACAAGAGCAAAAGTGCTAGTAACAATATCTGCCTTTGGAATGGTTGAATATTTTCTGTGCAAGAAAAACTAGATGGGATTTTTTACTAACTTCAATAGTCAACTTCACCCTGGTGATTTATATCCATTCCTATTGATTTTTACATCCATTCATCAATCATTTGTTTTGTAACTGAATTTGCTAATTGTTTCTGGCTTAAAACTCTAAATTTTGGGATGCAATAATGCTCGAAATGGAAAATTACAGTTCAGAGCAGAAGATAAAGTAAGGAAGTACTGTGGTGATTATGCTGGTTTCTCTGGTTTTATTGTCTTGTTTGCTTATGAGTCTGAAAACAGTGCTTACAATCCTTGGGCAAGGATGGTAGGATGGTGGTCAGTGAACTAAAAATAGCACTGATAACATGCACAGATTTAGCAGTGACACTGGTGATTCATGATTTATCTGATTCTTCCACTTCAAAAAATATTTTCTTGCATCTCTGCATGGCATCAACTTACATCTTCTCTCCAAGATCTGCATTAAAAAAACCAGTAGAGCATAAAGTTTTTCCATTTTCAAAGTAATAGGAACCTGGTATTTTCTGGATTTCATATTTTTAAGGACTCTGAATGAGATCTCTGCTTATATTGTTCATTTTTACCCTTTCATTTTTCTTCCGAAAATATGCTGATCTAAGAGAGACTATGTGAAAAGACCTGTAAGTAGTAAAAATTGAAATTATTTATGCTCCAATCAGTATTTTTCTTTAGAAGTGCTGTACAAACACAGCAGCACATTCCACCCTTTCACATTCATGGCAGACAAAGAATATACTGTCATTCAGTGATCATTGTAGGGGAAGCTCACTAAAGTGATGTTTCAGTGTAAATTTATGATTTATTAAAACATTTGAAGTGTTCTGCTAGATCACTTCCCTCTTGCCTTTCCCTTGTGCCTTCTGTACCTTATTCGTGGGTAGTTCCTTCCTTCCTTACAGGAAAAGTCTTTGTGCCATACAAACTGTGACAGCATTGCCATCCACACAGTTATTACTTCCTTGAGCCTGTGTGAGGGATGATGACATTGAAAGCAATGGGAAATGACTATGAGAAGTAATTTTAGAATCAATCTACTTAACTGAATACAGCCAAATGACAGTTACCAAAATGGTACTCCAGTGAAGTATTTCCAGCAGATATTTGTGTGTATGGTTCTGTGTTTATGGTTTAATGGTTAACCAGCAGCTGGTGCCATCGCTGTGCAGGCAGTGGAACTGGGCCTCAGGGTGGTGTCCCAGCTCTGTCACCAGCAGAAGAGCTTCTGAAAGGAAGGTGTACACTCACCCAGAGTCCTGTGCTTGTGTCCTTTCTGTGGGATGTAAAGGATATTCCAGGGCAGTCCCCACCATGAAGTGCCTCCAGAAGGGCTGGGCTGGCCTGTACATGCAAACAAGGAAAAGCCAAGAGTGTCAATGCAAAACATTCATTTCTGTGACTTTGCACAGAAACTGAGCTCCAACTTCATTTGAGTAAGGAAGGGTATTGGTGCCTGTCCTGGTTTAGGGCAAATTTGTGAGAAAATCTCCAAAAGGGAGCCCCTCCAGAAAGCAAACCCATGCAGCCCCTCTCCCCAACTGGTTTGAGAAGGATTCGTCTGACAGAAGGGGAAAGAACCTGTTTATTTAACAGGCACAGCAGCCCCAGCACACAGAATGAACAACACTGGATTGTTGTCATATGAAGCACAAGAGTTCTATTATCATTACATTGCAAGAGTTCCATATTAGAGGTTTGTGCCTCCTTGATGCTTCTTGTAGGCAGCTCCTCTAGCACTGAGTCCTCCTTGTCCTCACAGCAGCCAACTGACTCCAGCTCCCCTTAACCAACCAATCTACAATACTTATTAGCTAGTGTTCCATGTTGCTGTTCTGCCAGTAAAATGTCAAGTACAACAATCAGTATAAGGAAATATTTTGAAATGTCCTTAAGTCATATAGAACATAGCTGGTCTAAGTGTAATAGGTGATAGAACAGATGGGTGAAACAAAGTGAGTTTATCTGCCAGTAGCTGCAAGTCAATTAACCAAGAAAACATGTTTACCATATTTCTATTTCTGCCAGAAATGAAAATCCTAGAAGGAACCCCCCCCCCAATATCTAATAAGAAAATGCTTGGTTTTATAGGCCTTCCCCCCCCTTTATAAATCCTCTTCAATGGTGTGTATAGGTGTTTTTAAATACTGTGAAGGAGCACCTCCTAGGAGAGCTTCTGGGAGCTGGCTCCAGTGCACACAGAAATGTTATCTGTGCTGTAGGTTTAACTGCAGTACTTCATGCTTTCAGAGAGCAATATTCAAATTACTGTTCAGGATAAACTTTGTATTATGCATTAGCTGTTAGAAAAGCTGGTGCTGGAGCGAGAAAGCACAAATATCCCTTTCTCCCTTTCCTGACCTCAAAAGAGTGAAGAGAAATATTTGTTTCTCTCCACAGATTTCAAGGGCTGAGAGACGGCAACAAAACCTCACTCTTTCTTCTTGTCCTTATATTTTTGAGTGTAGTGAGCAGTGACTCTAAAAATTAAAGTTTGAGTCAGTTTGCAAACTTTCGAGTATTGCTCCATCGAATTTCTTTTTGGACTCTGCCAATAATTCTTAGTCCCCTCATGACCCATTCAGTCCAGCTTACCTGCAGTTGCCCACAGTCAGATTTTCCTGCCTCCAGTTCAGACAACTAAACCCCTACTGCGCACTTCTCTTGTCAATGTTCACTTAGAAGCGTTACAGGATAAATGTAATCCTTGTGAATACAAAGGATGTCTGGGGACACAACTCAGGTGTGTCTCCAGGGTACAGTGCCTTTCTGAGGACATGGCAGGGTGGCTTCAGGTGGTATCAGCTGTCCCTTTTATCATAACTGGCTCCCTCTACCATGCTAAAGGAAGCTTGGGAACAGGCATATGTCATGGCCAAAGATGGAATTCTGCGGGGAGGAACGCTTCACAGATTCTATGCCCAGAATGAAATAATTTTTGCTCTGGAAACACTTTGAGTACAATGGGGATATTCTGAAAGGCTGTTGAGACAGAATTGGTGGACTGAGGGCTGGTAATGGAAGAAATGGCTGGAAGAGTATGAAACTGTAACGTGCAGTAACAGGATGTGTTTTCCAGTGTAAAACTTTTATGACTGCTGCTTTTTGGAGTAGGATTAAATCCCAGCTGAATTGCAATTGGCAGTTTGTTCTAGCAGCTTGTCTTGAATTTCTCATGAGCTGAGACAGTTGTTTTGGTTGGGGGTAAACAGTCCCCCAAAGGGAAGAAGGGTACTAACTAAATCAGAAAGAACTGCCTGTTGTACTTATTTAACTGGAATCTTATTCTAATATCATTCAGTCCTTTTGATGTCCATCTTTTTTTCTCCAGATAATTTTAAAGAAGCATGCATACTCAAAGCTAATAAAAAAAATGATTTGTTTAGGCAGTTTTTGTAAAGAGAAAAAATTCAGTCTGGTAGTTCTTTTCACATCTCCATTTTATCTTCTACTTTGAAGAAACTTTCTTTTAAAGTGAAGAAAATTATTTTGGAAAACACTTAAATGTCTCGTTGAACAGCTGCAGAATGCAGTGCCTTGGGTTTTGCTCCTATTTAAAAAGTCTTTGCATAAATTAACAGAATGGAAACATAATTTATTGATATGTTTTGACCGTGGACTCGTGTTACACAAATTTTCATTAATTGAAGCAATCACAATATACCGTTTTCTTCCAGCTTGGAATTAAATCACTGTATTTTTCAGTTACCACTATTTCAGAAAGAAGAAATATGGAAATGGGTAGGCATACCAGCTACTGAAATTCTCTGGGATGCCCCTTTACATTTAGTTCCTTTCTTACAGTTTTGATCAGTTGTCATCACATTTGGTTTTGCTGTGCTTTGGGACAAATTATGTACTTGATCGTGATAGCCCACTGTTTTACAACACCAGTAGCAGTAAAATGTTGATTATTACAAACTTAAACCAAAGCCCACAACATTAAATTATAATAATCCCTGGTTTTTTGTCTGTCTGCTGCTCTGTGCACTCCCGCAAGCCTGACTCTGGGAGGCAAAATTTGAATAGATTTGCCAGTATTCTGAGTTGGCTGCAGTCCCAATGGTGAATTTACTACCAGGAGCTTTTTGGGGGCCTCTGCACTCTCTTGTGCTTGGCATTGCACAAGCACACAGTAAGAGTTTGTGTCTGACCCAAAAAACTGCCTCAAAGCTTGTGCAGGCAAACACATGAAGCAGAAACTGGAGCTGAGACTAACAAATCTCGTGTGCTGACTCCAAACACCAATTAGCTGAATTAAACAAAGTTTAATTCCTGCTTGATCCAGGCAGAGTTTCATTTGGTATGAAGAGGTGATAGGCTGTATCATTCATTTTCCACTATTTGTGCTCTGGGAAGAGGCTTATTGTAATGAGTCCTTATCTTTTTTGGATTTGGCACAGTCCCAATCACCTTGTTTCTGGGAATACAAGTGAAGCTGCCCAGTTCAAAGGGTGCTTAATGTTATTTCTTCATTCTAGTCCCATGTCACCTTTGCCAATAAGAGCAGTGAGCACCCCAGTTTGTGTACTGGTTGAGATCATGCACCACTGAAGGATATGCTTTGCTTCTGCCCTTGTGAGGAGCACAGTCCCAGAGGAGCCGGGAGGCTGCCACAGCTCCTCCTCAAAGAGCTGGATGGTTTCAGTCACAGTACAAAATGTACAGCAATAAAGACTACAGTAACACAAATCTTGAAGTGATGTATTAATTTAATACATAGGTGTAAAATTATTCTAGAAGCATCTGAATTGGCCTCTCAGTCTGTGCAGGAGCCCATACTGGCTTGTGAGTCCTGATTTCAGTGCTGTCCAAATCACTTTTAGAAGTCCTTTTTTCTGCAGAACTGGGGAATAATAGACAGTGTGCAATTTGATGTAATGTGTTGGGTTGTGAAGGGCAGAAAAATATTAACCACAGTTGGCAGAACAGCTGGGACTTGAACAATTAGCCTCTAGACACATAGATAAAGCTCTCTTCCTCAAAGCCCTAAGACATTTTGAATGAGATTAGTTCCTCATTCTCATTTTGCTTTGCAAAAATCGTGTGAAAGTTGCAAGATTATATATAGCCACAAAACAGCCTATAGCAGTGACCAGAATTATGTTACCTGTGATTAATAAAAAATGACAACACTGTATGTATGTGGCCTATTTTAGCAGGAGGAATCCAGAGATTACAAAAACAGAGGCTGGTCTCCATCCTGCTGCTCTCTGTGGTGAAGGAGCCATCACTTTAGCCAGTGCAAGAACAGCCCTTTTGCGGAACTCTGCAAGCCCCACGTGTGGCACAATTAATGTCCCACTGTAGCCACTCTGTGTTTGACACATTGTAAGATCCAGCAGTTCCACTTCATCACATCACTCCAAAATAAAGGACAGTAGATGGTTGAAGACTTTGGGACAGATGCTTTTTCTCCCTTTGGTTCCTGTCTGACCTGCAGGGCCAAAGGATCCCACTGCAAAAGCAATTTGTGGGAATGAGCCCAAGCTTTGTGCCCTGCCAACGCTGTCCCATCAGCACCTGCATGCTGAGAGAGTTCCAGGATAAAAGTAAAGCCCTTGTGCATGGCTCTGCAGGGTTTCTAGGATTCCTGGTCTGCAGGTGACCTATGAGGTGATCTTCTGGAAGTTGTGGTAGTTGATCACTTACCCTCAGTTATTCTAGCTTTAATTTCTAGCCTCCAAAATGGCCTACGCTCTGTGCAATAATTAGCCATACAAATTCCTGGGGTTTGTTTTTTTTGTTTGGTTTTGTTAGATTCGGTTTTGGTTGGTTTTTTTTTTTTTTTTTGGAGGGTGGTGGGTTGTTGCTGGTTGGTGGTGGTTGTTTTTAAGTTTGGGTTTGTTGGTTTTCTTAGGTTTTTTTTCCCTTTCTCTGTCACTTTCAGCAAATAAAACAATTTCTATGTTTCCATTAGTTGGTTTCTTTTGAAATCAGGCCCCTTCAGCAGCTTGATGCATCTTTCTCATAGCACCGAGGAAGTGATTCATTACTGATTGAGAGAGATGCTGTGTGTTCAGTATCTGTTATGATTTGATTCTCCTGTGCTGTTTTACTTGCCTTTTCTCTAAATAAGAAAAATTCCTGTGAAGTGGGGGTGGTGTCAGTTCTGTGATCAGATGCAGCCTGCAGCAAGATAAACATGAAAATGGTAAGGAAGACCTTATATTTACTCTCTGAAGCTTTTGGTTCTGTGTAAGATAAAGGTCACTTTAGAGAAACATGTCAAGAATTCTAGTGAAGCTGGCTGACGTCTAACTTAACCAGAGAACCAGGAGGTTTAAAAAGGATTTAAAACAGCAAAGGGAAAAAGGAAATATTCTAAAAATATTTTTTAGAAA